GGTTTGCCCCCCTGCTGAGAGAGCCCCTCGGTGTGGAAGAAGGCGTCTCGGGCGTGCCGGACCGCTCCAGGCAGGTAGCATTGAAGTACGCGTGCATGTTTGCTTTATAGGTAGAAATGAAGAGAAATTACCGGAGAGGCAAAGAAAAGCATGGGTGGAGCGGTCGCAAGCACAGCTACCGTCCCCACCGGTACAGAAGACCCGATCACAACAACTGTACTGAAAGGCAAGTATACGCAGCTTGTGCTTAGCCTGGGTTAAGCCATTAGATGTTACGGATAATTAAATTTGCAGAATGGTGGCTATCTGGAACTGAGAGAGTTGTCATCTGAAAATCTAGCGGGCAGTACTTCTGGTATATCTGTCATCCCTAGTGGGAGTGGAATTGCATTGATTTCTGGAAATTTATCATATGTTCACGACCATGTATGGATTTTAAACTGAGATGTGGTTTCATGAGCTAGTCCTTTCAGGTGTGCCTGAGTGTTCATAAACTCTTCATCAATATGCAAAGATAGTTCAAGGAAGAAAAATACTTGTAAGTACTTAATTCCACCTGCCCATTTATTTTATGCCTCAGTGTCTACTAGTGTGAAAACTGTTATTAAAGGATCTTTCTGGAAGTTTAAAAGCATGTTAAGTAGTATGGTAACAATGCCACATCTAGCAGATCAGGAAACTGAAGCAAGGTCTCAGGAATAATCCACTGCCTTGAAAATAGATTCTTTCAGGAAAGTACATTTTAAACTTTAGAACTTACATTTGTCTGTGTTTGGGCTATTTTTATGGCTCTTTCCCATGTTCTTTCCTTAGTGCCTCTTGCAGGAAAAGTAGAGGCCAAGCCTTTGATTTAATACCCTAAGCATTTTTTAAATGTATTTCTAGAGAAAGAGATACATACGCATATATATGAGTTGCCCTGTTGTATTTGTGTAAGAAAAGTTAGGAATGCAAATGGGCTGTAATTCAGCAAATAAAGAATTAAAAGAAATTTATTAAAAAGCTTTAAATTGAAGTCCTTGATTTTTTTTTGGGGGGGGGGTGTTTCTCCCCTTGTAGATTAGTTATGTTCTTTAACTGTTTTCAAAGGTGTATAATCAAGCAGCAATAGAGCTGATATTAGAACTAGAATTTCTTTGTCATTTTGCTTTTCAATAAATTATGACTCTTGCAAAACATCTTGGCCTAATTAATGCTTTAAGATGACATATAATAAGACCTATCTTAAGAAGTAAGAATTGTATGGGTGATTCACAATACTTCCTAGTGGAACTTTGCTCATCAGTACTGAATGTGCCCGTTTAAATGACTTAAAAAAGAAGAAAGCTGCAGGTACCCTGTTGGTTATGGTGTTTATTACAATGCAAAGACTTTTCTTTCTTGGAGTTTTCATTAAACTTTTATTTATTTTGCATGTTTCTGAACCTCATCAATGAAAGTCTTGTCATGAAGCGAATGGCAATATATTTTTGACCTGACATCAATGTTGTACCTACACTGTCTCTCGCTTTATGCTGTGAAGACTTACATGTTTTCAAGGGTGGGCTTTTCTTTTAATCAGTGGATATGGTGAAAAGCCTAGAATTCATCTTACGCTGAAAATTGTTAAAAGCACTTGCAGAATCGGCAGCCACCTCTAATGATTTAGCAAGCAATTAAGGCTTTTAAGATGTTGATGTCTCTAATATTATTGAGAGGTTTTTAAGCTGAATATTTTTACTGTTTTATTTTTGTAGTTTAGTGTATGGTGATATACACAGTGTACTTATCACAGCCCTGCAAAGCTGTACTCTATTAATGTCAATAACAAGCTGCTTTCTAGGTTCTTTGTGGGAAAGATGTGTAGGACAATTGTGAGCCTGTCTTGAAGACAATACCTTTTTTTTTTTTTTTAGGGCGGAACAGGAGGAACCACAGACCCCAGTGAGTGCAGGCCCCAGCGGCAGTGGAAATCCATCTTCATCCAGTTCAACTCAGAACTCTGTAGTACCAGGTAAGAGACCATGTTTATGGGTGAAAAATCAGTGTCTATGTGCTGACTGTATGAAAAAAGCAGTAACAGCTGCATAAATAGCATGGTGTTAAAGGATGGATATAAGCAGTAAAGTTTGTAGAGAAAAGTAACATCAGGCGATAAAAAAAGATGTAGTTAAGTGAGGATCTAGAGAATGGGACCAAATATGCTTTCAGGCCCCCAAGTACTTCTCATGTCTGAAAACTTATGTGCTTAGGCAAGCTGATATAAGCTGAAAAAACAGAATTCTGGTTCTCTCTCCAGAAATGTTGCTTTGGGAAGAAAATGAACTTTGTTGCTTTTCTCATATATGCTGAAGATGCTATAAAATAAATCTTTCAATAGAAACAACAAATAAGCGAAGAAAATAAGAGAGCATATGAAAAATTGTAATTTGCACCCAGATATTCAGTCTTTCAAAAAAGACACAATGATCCACCACTTCGGGGTGCAGGGTGGAAATCATCTCTCTCTATGCCTTCAGTGTATTTTGTAGTGTGTAAGAAACACACTCTGGCTAAATCTTTGTTCATTATCAGGCAGTCAGCTGGCGAAACCAGACTTGATGCAGTAGCAATGCTATTGAGGGGGATGTCCTGTTTGCATTCTGGTTTCCTGACTCATTAAACAACCCTAGCAAAAACTAAGCCTGTGGGAACACGCTTTTCTCCACAACAGGAGAGTCCTGAAACACCACTGACTCTATAACCTCTTAACCACAGACAAAGCCAGAGTTTAAAGAGACCTTTTTTGTTTATTGCCCTTTTATGCCTAAGAGATTGTGAGCATGTTAGGAGATGTATCCTGCAAAACATTTATTGCTGTGTAATTAGATTCTGTATACTGTATGCAGTGTGCTTTTACAAATCTTACTGATTCATTCACTAGCTTTATATTTTTGTTGACCTAAATAAATCTCGGTCACTTGTTGCTAAGCTGAAACCTAAAAGATACTGACAAGGAGCTGAATTGTAAGCAGCAGCAAAAAGAGGTTATTCAAACGCAATTTCTGGTAGTAGATAAAAGTTTAAATGAAACCTATTGAAATTAAGATCTTAGCATTCGCCTCTTAGCACTCACCTCTTCTGAATAACATCCCTTGTCTTGAGACAGTGTACCATTATGAGTCTCTCAAAGTATTTTGCCTGTCTGCCTCTGTGAATTTACCCAGACAGCGAAGCATTAAAATCGAATGTTACTCTCATCCCAGTTCATCTTTGGATGGAGCCTCTGTGTATTGTCCAAATGTACTCTTGACTGTATCTAAATCTCTCCTCTGTGTTGAAGAAAAAGTGTCTTGTTTTGAGAAGTGGATCACTTTATTTTGGTTTGGGTGATACCTCATTGTCGATGGGTTTTTTTTGTTTGTTTGGGACTGCTGTACCTAGTCTTTTAACCACGAGTGTCCCCTCATCATTGATTTATAAAAAAATGTAATTTTTGTTCTGCAGCAAAACCTTTCCTCTCTGCTTTTCTGATCTGTCTGAATTCTATCTTGGTCAGTGGTGACACCCCTTCTGTACCTGCGTAATGGCAGTGCACTTGAAAACTATAAATAATTTTTTTTTTCCCTTTAAGTGGCTGTCATCTATTCCTAATCTGTGTATTATGCTCTAGACCTGCTGGGGGCAAGAGCTTTGAGCCTCATGACTGATGTTCCCATAAAGATGTGGGATGTCAAAGAGCAATAATGAAACTTAATTTAATTATCCATCTGACTTTGCCTGGGTTTTGCCACTTTTCTTTTTTTTAAGAACTGCCGGGATTTTACTATGACTCAGAAAAGAACCGCTATTTTCGCCTACTGCCTGGACATAATAACTACAACCCACTCACCAAGGAGAGCATTCAGTACAAGGCAATGGAATGCAAAAGACTGAGACTCCTAGAAGAGGAAGAAAAACAAAAGAAGGTACATTCTGAAAAAGATTGCAATTAGGCTTTATTGTACTCTGGCCCAGGACAGATTATAAGCTAAAGCCTTTCAATTCTGACTGTGGTACAGTTCCTTAAGCTGCCTGAAGAAGTAAAAATTTCTTTTTGCTGAGAACTTGTAGTCCTTGAAGCCTTTTGTTTGGCTGTTCCACGCAGGAATAAAAGCAAGTCATTACAGGCAAAAACTTGTAAAGAGAGAGGAACTGTGCTCAGAATTGCAGGTTGTCCAACAGTTACATTTGAGTCAGGACATTGGATGCCAGGTTTCAAATTCCTGCTTTTGCTTTGAATTGGCAAAATGGGGTCTTGATTTTATGTTTTCCATATCTTCTATAAATGTATTGATCATATTCCTGGACCCTGAAGAAACAATACTAATGATATTTTGTAGAAACAGCTTTTTCATGAAGAATTTTTTTGGACAGGTAAAATCAAGGCGGGTTTTATGTTTATGCCTGGAAAGCCTGTATGCTTTTCATCATGAAGTGTTACAGCAGAGTTAATGCTGATGCTGCATATTGGTAATTGGGGTAAAATACCTAACAAGGATGTTTTTTAATTACCTGAAAGCCATCTCTTATAACTTTACAAATCACAGCTCAGCTTAAATGTGGCAGAAGCAAAGAGCATTTTTCTCATTAGCTAATGAAGTTCTTCAACCAGCTATTCAGCTCTTCAGTCTTCACTGTGCAAGTGCTGCTGTTGGTTTGGGTTTGCCTTTTTCCCCCCCACCCCCTCCAGGGGTGGGGTGAGGGGTGTTTTATGTGTTTCCGTGAGCAGTTTAGGTTTCATAGATACTAAACAGCTGCTAGCCACCTTGCTATTACTGGGAACTGTGGATATACATCTCTAATCAAAACCTGGTTGTTGAGTCAGACATCTGAATTAGGCTCCCAGATGAAAACATTTTGACTCTTAAATACATACTTTGTCAGAGCATTATCAAAAATATTTCTTGCTCCATAACTCTGCAGAGTACTCTATCCTTTGGTCTCCCCAGAAAGTGTTTGCCTGAAATCCTAAAAAATGATGAATGGAAAAGTAGTTTAATGCAGCAGTAAGACTGCATAGTTAATAGCAGTCTTGTTGTGATAGGAAGTTTTGATGTATAATAAGAATTTAAGGTGTTATAGTGAAAGCAGAAGGTGACTTAACACCTCACAGTGTGGGACTGCTGATTATGTCAAGCGAAAACAATAGCCATTGTTTTGCAGGGGGGTTCTTTCTCCAGTTTTTGTATTTATAGAAGCACCCCACATATCACAGAAATATATTCTTGTCTACTTACTGTAGTAGACCAGGGAGATGGTGCTGGAATGTGTTTTATAGATGCTTTGAAAATTTTAATGTATGTAGGCTAGATGAAAAAGCTATGTAAATATCCCAAACATCTAATATGCACAGCCATATTTCAATCGTAAACAAGCAAATAACTGAGTACATGTTCACGTTATTCCCTTCCAGAAAACAACAAGGGCTGGACTGAACTCATCTGTGCTGCTACAGAAAAGGCAGCTGGGTTTGCTCAGCTCCACAAGCTATTGCAGGTACAGTGATTTGATATGTCTTCTGTTTGCAATACCAAGTTCTGCTATTAGTGCAACTGTTCCTGTCAGGTTTTTTGCATTTCTTACTGTTCCACTTAGGATGAAGAGGAACATATTCATTATAATAAAAAAAAAAAAAAGTACTAAAGTGATGAGAATTGAAATGAAGAAGAGGTTTCCCAATGCAGATAACTGGAGTTTAAAACTTCACTGTATATGCTGTTTTCCCACGTTATGCTTTATGAATACAGTGCAGCTTTTCTTTGGATGAATGCTCTTCAACTGATGTGACCGTTCCCCCTGCCCCCCACTAGAATATCTATGCTCCAATTTAGTAACAGCCCAGAAGGCAAGTTAGTGACTTACTATGTTCTTGTTTCTGCTACTGAAGATGTGCTGGGGTTCAAAATAACAGGATGAAATTCCATGAACATGGAAGACGCAGATGTTCATGGGTTTTATAAGTGAAATTGCAGCATGCTAGTTGTTCAGGCATTTTATCTTCTATGATTGAGAAGCAGTTCTGGATATCCTGTCCAGAATTCTTTTAATTGGCATTAAACCTAAGCTTACCTGAATTCTCTCTTTTCCCCCTCCCCCTCTCCCCGCCCACCTTCTTTTACAGGCTGGTCCACGAACTAAAAGTGAACTGCATGCAGAGGAGGAAGATAGAAATTCACAGTCCAGATTCGTCAGTTGCTGGAACCAACAATTTTAAAATAATTGTGGTATGTTATAAGAACCATTAAGTCTTTAGAATAGAGTCCATCTTTAGTGAAAATTCAGGATCTTGTAATCAAATCCCAGAAGTCAAATTTTGCTTTCAAAGATGTGTTATTCCTGTTGTGTCAGTTCTCAAAATCTGTGCTCAGTAATTTTAAACAGATAGGAGAAGGCTGTTCCTTTCCTAGAAACGAACATGATAAGGAGGTTGGATATGAAAGTGATTTTTTGGTTTGTTTGTTTTTTTCCCTCCAAGCTTATCAACATGTTCTCTTGGAAATAAACAGGAGTTGAGTGGGTAATTAGTGAGAGGCCCCAGGGGAAAGAAGAATTTGGGGAGTAGCAAAGTCTGTGGTCCAGAGAATCTATGTAAACATCAGTAATCATCTTGCATCTCATGATCTGAAGGCAGTTTCTACTTGTTTTGATGGTACTGCACATGCAGGAGAGGTCTCTGGAGCAAATATCTCCTATATTCTATGTAGGAAGCTCTCCCAGAGCAGGTCCTGAGCTTGTGAACAGAGCACTGCAGCACACACAGCTACCTAGCTGAAGCTAGAAGGGAGTCAGAAACTTAGTGTCATAAAAGAAAAGTTGAAATGTAGCACTGGCCTTTTTGATGTGATCCAAGACCAGGAGAATTCCACATTTGCTTTTGATAAGGTTTAAATTTTTGAGCCCTCTATCAATACCAGTCTGAGCTTACTAATCAACCAGAGTTAAGTGTCTAGAAGGGATATAATTGGAAAGAATATTTATTGTTACTGGAGGACTAAATCCTTTTCTTACTCATGTTTTTTCTGTGCACGCATGTAAAAAGGGTTTGGCTACTGTTTTTAGAGATGAATGGAAAGCAGATGGTGTTAAAGGGATCAGAATTAATGTTTTGTTTTATTTAAACCTAATGTAGCTCCCTCAAACTGTTTTTTCTGTAAGTTTCCAGTAAGCATGACCAGTAAGCTTTTATTTTACAGGCGGATGTTGCTTGTGAACGGATATTCACTGTGAATGATGTAGAGCATGGAGGATGTAAATATGGTATCATCAACCTCAGTGGTTTGGGGAAGGAGTCTCTCACTGTGGAGATGTATGACAACCTCTACTTCACAAACCGCAAAGTACTGTGTTCCGTTCCTGCTTCCTTCAGTTACTGCATTCTCAGAGGGCTGTTCCTTGGGAGGCACAGGTGGAACTGCATGAGGGTTGGGGAAGGGGTTAGGAGGAGAAAATGGAAGATTCTAGCAATGTGAAGCTTGGATGAATGCAGAATCACAGCAAACTTGTCTGAAAGTCCTCAGTGCCGGTGTGAGTTCTCAGGAATGTTACACTACAATTGGAACAGAATACCACGTAGAAGTACCAGCTTCCAAAGATAGTGCTTACTTCAGAGTTGCATGTGGCCATAGCTGATAAAACTGATGTTAAGGGCCAGAAATTACTAAGATCTGCATGCTTCTTTCTTAAAAATAATTTTGGGAAAATGTGTTTATTCTTGAACATGAAGAATATTTAAAACAAGCTTTCATAATCTCTCACGCTCAGGTTCTTTTAAGGATGATCTCTTAAATAATAGGATGTGCTTGGTGCCTCAGTCCATGTTTGGACAAACTTCCCAATGCTGCTCTGTCCTTTAAGAGGACTATGAGGCTAAAATGCCATTACTGGGCTATTTCAGTGGGCTAAGGAACCATGCCCAGCGCATGGTTTTATGTCATCTTTGCATGGAAATAACCTTTCATGAATTGAACAAGAGATCACAAAATAGTATGTCTTCTTGTGTCTGAAGGTGAATTCTGTGTGCTGGGCATCACTGACGCATCCAGATTCTCATGTTTTATATCCTTTTAAAAAACGCAAAATTTCAGTTCAGCTTTCACAAGCCTGCATCATGCTACACAGAACAACTAACTTCCAGGAAGACATCTCATGTAGTTGCCCCAGAAATTAAGTTTTCTGGAAAACAGAGAAAGTTATAAAAATTGAAAGATGTTTGAGCTTGTGAAACAGATGTACAGTTCCCTTATAGATATATATAGAATTGTTCCAGTGTAATAGTAGGTGAAAGACCATGTTTCCTGCCCTGGAGACTTCCCACTTTGTTAATAGTGTAGATGATGTAGATCCAAAATTATCTGATCTTTAGAAACTGTCTGGGGCAAAAGAACAAGAGGGTTAAGGCAACTAATTTTCTCTTTGAGGTGGACCTCTTTGAAAGTGGGTTGGTTGGTTTCTGTTGTAAACCATCCCCATATTGGTTGGGGTGAGGGGAGGATGGGAGCAATTCAGCGGCACCATGCTCTGCAACTTTCAGAGCATGTTCTGCAGACCTGTCTCGGAAGAAGAGGAAGGATGATGGTATAGCAGAGGAAGCAGTAATGCACAATACAGAATCCAGAAGAGAGGAAGAAAAGGGATTTTAACGTGGGAGATGGCAGGCAACAGATGTCCTAGTAAAGCGCCAAAAAAGGAGATTATATAGTGATCTATGTAATGGCTCATGGGAAAAGCCAAGCAATTCGGGACTGATCCAGAAGGTGGCAGGAGTTCATCAGGCTTGCTCATAGGTGCTTAGGAATTGGGGATTGTTTGGTTATTTGTGCTTTCCTCTAGTCATATCACCAGTTTACCCCACTGAACTTAAAGGCAGCTTTCAAATCCTATTTATACCTGTTATAATCTTTAGGAAGTATTTTAATGTAATCTAAAGTGAGTCTTCCTTGCCTCCCTGGTGTGTGTTCCCCTTTTTCCAACTTAACTCCATGAAAAACAGATCTATATTAATGCAGCATCATCAGCATGTAAAGATGAGAAGAATGATCAATGTAGGCCATGCATTTTGGTTTTTGGTTTGGTTTTTTTTCTATCACTAGAAAGATGCCTTAGTATTCCTCTTACCTTGTCTTTCTGGTAATGAAAATACACAAGCAAGAATGGGAGTTCTTTCTAGCTCTTTCCTATGAAAGAAATGAAAAGCCAAGACTTAATGGTAAACTGTAAGGCACAGAGGTCTCAAAAGGGAGAGTATTGTGAGCTGTGGCTACGTCAGAGCATCTTGCTTTTCCTAGCTATAAATGTTAGGCAGCCTGTTCCATTCTAGGGAGAAATCTTTTGTTTTCCTTAACTCACTTCAGCAAGCTGTGTCTCATGGGAATTGCAGAAACACCAGGCTGTGCCAGTCTCCTTCCAGCATCATTGTTCAGCAGCACTAACCCAGGTAGGGTGTTTTCATTGTTTTTGGTTTTGGTTTTTTTCCTCCAATTTTTGATAGTAGCTATGGTATGAAAAGAGCACAAAGGAAAGATTATTTCTGCACTTTTCTTCAGTAGCTGGTGAGATTGTTGTATTGTAAAACTTAGAAAGTCTGAAACAGTTTAAGAACTGAATAGATGACTTACCTTAAAAATTAATTAACAAGCGGTATTCAAAGCACTAGTTTATTTTTAGCTGCTGATGATGTAGTACTTGACGTTGGCAGGAGAACATGTCACTTGTTCTCCTTTGGGATTTTTCATGAGTAGCTTGGCCTGTAACTAATATTCAGAAGCTGCACACAAGAAGTACTCAGATTTCCTTATAGACTGTCTAGGATCATTGCAGAATCCCTTCTTATAGTAGCTACTCAAGTATGCTCAGTGGATTAATCAAAGGTGGAAAGCTGGTAAATGACTCAGCCCATAGTTCCTTGTACAAGCTCAGTCTTTTGTGTGTAAGCATGATTAATTTAGAGAATCCAATGTCTTAAGTCTGATGGCTGTAGCTGTATCTTTATGTATTTGTTTGTTCAATGTTCTTGGGGGCACAACTTTATTAATTGGACTTTCTTGATAGATGTCAGAACCATGCCTCTTCATGTCGCACAGTACAGTCCCCTAACCTGGTTTTCATTCAGACATGATCAGTTAAGTTTATACAGAGGAAATCTGCGATAGATTAGAGTTATGGACCTATTTTTAATTTTTCATGTCATGGTATTTATGTAGCCATTAAAAAAAAAAATGTATAGCATTAACATGAACTTGAAGAGTCACTGAAGATGGATGACCACGAGGCCAGCATGCCCAATTGCTCTGTAGAACATTGTAAGCCCCTCACCATAATCAGATGCCCTGAGTTCCACCAAAGTCCTCCTGTCTAGTGTTTCCTGTTGACTATTTTAGGTATTTCCTAGTTTCTTGATGTACTTCACTCTCCTAAATTGTTGGTTTGAGGGAACCTTGCTAAGTAGGTGCTAGGAGCAAAGTAGAGCTTAACCTGTCTAAACTCATGTTTTAGACATGTCACCTGTGCTGCCTGGCATACGTATGATCATGGTGGATGTGCCATGAAGGAAGTGAAAATTGAGGACTTAAATTTTATGTCAATTAGTAGACTTTGTGCAGGAGCTACATGAGTAAGGGTCAAATCTAGGGTATTGTTACTTACTCAAACAATTATTTTTTTTTAAATAGGCAGGCCAAGAATATCCAGGTTAGGCTTTGGCTAATCTGTAGCTTATAAAGCAAATGTTTTGTGGTTTTAGCCCACTTACCTTTAAAAAATGGCTTGCTTAGTGCTGCAAGGCAAGTGTTATTTTTCTCTTTCCTGCCATGGTCAGCGCTCTGACTACTGAATAAATTTCAGTCTCTCACAATCATCTCTCTGTATAGACTATAAGTCTTCAGCTTACAGTTATGAAGTCCCACTTTTGTTTCCCATCTCTTGAGTAGCACAAGGACACTAATTGGGTAATATTTTCTCTGCTTCAGATTGAAATGTTGAAAGAAGTATGGAAATCCAGAGAAGCTTTCCGAGTTACCATCCTGTCCTAACATTTTATGGACGCTTCGTGTGTTGCTCCTCTCTCCTAGGAGATCGACCTGGAATGCTGTGCAGTTTCAAGATATCCACTGCCTGGTCCTGTGCTTGGTGCCTGAATCCCCAAGCAGACAACTGCTTCAGCACAGGTGATTTGCAAGGCTAGCAACCCCTTCTGTCTCAGTGAGAGGGAAAGACTGCTGGCATTAATCTTCCAGCTGCTACTCAAATTACAGCTAAAAGAACATAATCTGTCTTCCTTAGGCCTGACACGACGAGTTCTTGTGACCAATGTAGTGACAGGGCATCGACAGACATTTGGAACCAGTAGTGATGTATTGGCGCAACAGTTTGCCACACAGGTAAAAAGAACCATACACCTGTCATATTTTCAGAGTGCTGCCTCACTGATGGGCTTTTTGTTCCGTTTGTGGTGGGATTCATCAAGCTGTACATAAGGTTGTGATTACAATTACTGTTGGATACCTGTTCCACAACAGAGCTTGTGCACAGCTGAACACCAACAAAAAAATTAACTGACTTCAAACCCTGTGGCAACAGGGGTAGTTTTTGTTAGTTGTACAGAAGTAAAAAGGAAATGAAGGAAGTAAAAAGCACAGTAATAATGCATTGTAAAATTGTTCTGGTTTTGGCAAACAATCTCATTTTGTTAACACTCGGTGTATTGTCTCCATCAAGAAGAAAACCCCTATAAAATACTAATGGACTTGTTCACAAAGATTTAGCTAGAAGGGTGAAATCAGAATATGAGAATTCCAGTTCCGGTTTTGCTGTTATCTTAGTCTTAAGTTCCTGCTTACATAGCTGAACTTTTCCAGCTAAAGTAAATGGTTGAGGTGTGAATGGAACTAATGGAAAATGTTGCAGTGTGCAATAAAAATTCTGGTTCTTAATGCCCGTGTTAACAAAATAATTTGACAACTGCACCAGAGAACTCAAAAGCTTGGCATAGCTGCTGTCTGTATAACTTGTAGCATCCTTTCAGATGTTATGTAGTATGCTGCTTTCTCTTGGATTCTTCCAGACCCCGATGCTGTACAATGGCTGCCGTTCAGGTGAGATTTTCAGCATCGATGTGCGTCAACGCAGCCGAAAGGGCCAGAGCTGGAAAGCAATTCGTCTCTTCCATGACTCAGCAGTCACATCTATTCGCCTTCTTGAGGCTGAACATTACATTATGGCAGCAGATATGGCTGGAAAGGTATGGGTTTGTTGTGTTTAGGGTATTCTGTTCCTTTCAGTATCTGGGCATTGACAGGTGCTTATCCCACTCCCGGGGGCGGATGCCTGTTCTGTAGGGGGGTGGTATGGAACTGGGTAGTAGTCCCATATATGGGTCCTCTTCCAGGGCCACTTATCAAGCTCTCTGCTTTGGTAGTATATCCTCTTTCAAACAATTCCTTCAACTTGCAGATAAAATTGTGGGACCTGAGAACAGCAAAGTGTGTGAAACAGTACAAAGGTCATCACAATGAATATGCAATTCTCCCTCTGCACGTAAATGAGGAGGAAGGACTTCTTACAGCAGGTTGGTTGACTTTTTTTCTTTTCCCTCTACTTGTAGAGTGCATGGCAGTGATTTTCTTATGCCTAAGGAGTGTTTCTTAGGTACAGCTGTTGGAAGCTGTAAAGCTGTTAATTCTTTAAAATTCAGAAGAAATTTAGCCTTAGACATACTGCAACATACTATGAAAATTAAGAAATAATGTTATGGAGGCGCACCTACTATAATCACTCCCGTGTAGCGCCTAATGGCTTTATCTGCTGTGTCCTGTAAAAGTCTCATTGTCCTTTCCACAGTGTGTCTCGAGTACAGCAGAAAACGCTTGATTTTGAAATTCAGGGAGTAAATGGGAGACTTAGTGATAACTTTATATAGAGACTAAAGACTGTGTATAGGTTTATTTGGTGCTTGAGTGGGTAGTGTGGTGATGGACTGAAGCACTGGAGTGTAAGTGTAGCTCCTTGTAAACTGTCTATACCACTCAGGTTCATTTTGAATATACTTGGCTATGGTCTGAGATTTTTTTTTTATTATTTCTTTTAATTAGGGTGAGGGGAAGAAAGGTAACAATAAGTGAGGCAAAGTATAGCCAAGTTTCACAGTGTCACTGCAAGCATGGTGACCTCTCCTTGGGTTTGTCAGTAAGTGACAGAATAATGAAAAGAATTCCTGGTAATTTGATAGCAAGTTTTTCTCCCCTTTTTTTGGCTTAGGAGCTTGGTAATGAGGAAAGCACTCTACTAATTTAGCATACCTTCTATTGCCTAATAGGAAATGCACATTTTTCCCACTCTTGCAATATTCAGTGAGAATTACTGTTCCGTAAAGTATTGATAAGCACTTTGCCTCTAGTGTGTGTAGAAATGGTGAGGGTTTTTTCCCCTGTAGACCTTCAGCTTCTGTGATGATAATCTTGCAGAGCTGTGTGATGTTGAATTCTGGTGTCCTTTCCTTTCCAGTTGGTCAGGATTGCTACACCAGAATTTGGAGTCTCCAAGATGCCCATCTGCTTAGAACCATCCCTTCTCCTCACCCATCCTCCAAAGATGCCATTCCCAGTGTGGTGTTTTCTTCAAGACTAGGGGGTAGCCGAGGAGTTCCTGGCTTACTCATGGCTGTCAAACAGGATCTCTACCACTTCTCCTATAACTGACACAATATTCTCCTCAGACCTGGTCTACAAAGCTGCCAGCCTATACATGAGTTAAATTTTTGCACCAGTCACCATGCCGTTGAGTCACTATGTGCTGCTGTTGCATCTGCTTTACCCCTGAAATTCTGAACCTCCTTCAGCAGGTTCAGCAAATCTTGCCGTATACATCTCAGACATCTTGTAAATAAAAGGTGAATGCTGATTAACTTCTTGGGCAATATTCAGCCTCTTTGAAATCTAGCTATAAGCTTTGAAAAGCTGGTAATGTGCAGTGAGGGCCTGACTCATGCTAGCTGAATTTGCTGTCAAAAGGCTGCTCTACATTAATCCTACTTGGGTCATATAACTGTTAGCTGTGGTTACATCCACATTAGCAAGTTGCAACAGAGTGGATTAGGGGAGTGAAATAGCTGGTGTTGAGAAGCTGACACTATAGGTGTTCCAGGGCTTCGTTTGGAGTAGCGTTGGTCTGGGACCCTGCATCAGCTGTCTCCACTGCATCTGTGTTCCTTGCACTGCTTCTAACCAGCTGTTTCCCCACTCACACCATCGATCCTTTTTGCTGGGCCATGCTAAACTTTGTCCTTTTCAGATGATGGTAGCACGCCACTGCCCTGCCACCATCCCCTTTAAAAGGCAGCATGTGTAGAAGAAAGCCCCTCTCTTTGCTCAGTAGCCAGGCTGAATGTCCCTGTTCATTTATCACACTGTCTCCTAACCAAGTCCACACCCCTTGCCTGGGGTTCGGTCAGCAGTCTGGCATGGCAGGCTTGCTTATGCACCTGTAGCAGGAGACAAGCCCAGCCTGGACAGACCACATCCTCTTTGGGACAAGAGATGACCTGTGCAGAGTCAAGACTTTTGCATACAGAGGTACAAGTGCGGTACCTCAGCTGTGAAGCTGTAGCACCAGCTCATGGTAATCGGATGACACTGCAGGAGCCCATACCTGCATTTGAGAACAATTATCCCATGGAGCCTCATTACCTCCAGCTCCTGGCTAGTAACCAGTCTGGGTAGGGCAAGACCACCCTGCAGCTAGCATATGTCGGAAGCATTGACAAGATCAGGAGCCTACAGGGGGCGAAGGCCCTCATAAACTAGGTGGGGCTACTGATGGGCTTCACAGGAAAGACATGCTGCACTCAAGTTTTCCACAATTCTTGGAAAAGGAATGCAGGAACTGCCTTTGCATCCTGGGATCCACTTAGAGCATTCAGACATACAGCTGTATCACCAGAGCTGCTGCTTCCCATGGGGTCCTGCCAGGTCAGCGGGTGAGTGTACAAACAGGTCATAATTGCATCCTTGCTCACATACATTAGGATGGAGGCTGTGCCCAGCTGGCTCAGTGAGATGGCGGTGTCGGAGAGCGCAGCTGGGCATCTGCATTCCAAGTGCCTTCTGAAATGGGGTACAGCCTGCACCATTGCACCAAGGCAAGTGTTGCTGATGACTACAGCTGTGGCCTATAGCTGGGACTACCCAGCATGGCACTGGCACCTGGGACACATCTGTGCCTTCATTGCAGAGGGGTGCAACAGTGCTGAGCATCCTGGGTAGGAAGGGGCTTGCAAGTCCCCATCAAAGCTTTTCTACTTCACTAAGTTGCATCCCAGGAATAAAAAGAAACAGGGCTAATACCAGTCTCTTGACTGCTTACCCCATTCGTTCCGCCCTATCTTTTCAGCA